ATCTGATTAGAATACTCATCATGTTGTTCTATTACCAAATCAGAATTATTTGCAAAGACAAGGAGTTATACTTGGTAGCTGAATCGCCTGACCAGCAAGCAACTCATTCTGCATACGTAAGTAGGCAGGTGGATTCTTTCTGTTTATATTTTTTTTTTCTACAAAAGCTAAATCTACAAAATAAACAAATTAGGAAACGGAATAGTACAGAAAACATGACCGTGCTGGATAATTGATTTAAGTACTTTTAGATTCTAAAGCAACCTACAGAGAAAACTAGGTTATACTGAGTTTTTTATTATTTTTAAACCTTGTTTTCTTGAATGACAAGTTCAATAAAATCTCAAAAAGGCAACAGTTTAGGTCCAGTCACAAGTTTTATGCAGTCTGGTTTAGCGATGGAGAGAAAATTTACTAATGTAGCTTAGTACTAACCAGTATCCTGGAAGTCTCTTTCTTGATTGTGACTTGAAACTTCCTTCCATGGGAGCGCGCTGTCTTGGTAAGCTTACCATTGAAGGCCTCTCCCTGGTAAATCATCCAAAGTTTCTGCTTCAGTAGCTCTATTTGCTCCTCAACTCTACCACATTTCTGCCAAGTTCACATATATGGTGAGAACCAAATTCCAAAACCTGAAAATTCTTATTATGGTCAGAAAGAGTGACGCTACTTAGGTATTGGACACAAAAGCTAAGTTTTGGGTGGGTAACCCTAAACCATTCTATATCATGCGCAAGCTTCTGCAATAAATTTTTTGCCAACAGGGAGGAGAGGAAAGAGAGAGCATAAGCCCACAAGTGTTCTCCAAAACTGCTCAAATTCCAAACCCTTGGCATTTGAGGTTAACATCCACAGAAGAGGGTGAAGTGATTGATAGTGAAGACATCACCACAATTGCCAATTAATTGAAAAAACATTAGCACTTGTTAGGAACTGAGGGTGGGTCTAAAGTCATGAGGATCATACAGGCCTGCTACAAAAATAGGCATTTGTTGATGAGATATCCATATGCCTCTTTTAGGAAAGGATATCAAGCCTCGGAAATGAGAGCTAAGCTTCTATATTTACCTTGTACAAGTCAATTAGTACATTGTCTAGGGATTCTTGTGCCTGCTTAGAGCAGCGATCCCTGAAAGACTTTATTGCTTCAATTGCTTCTTCTGCTCTATCTTGCTGCTTCATGACTACTGCCATGTCTTTGAGGGCACTATCCACCCTATCTCCAGCGTTTATTGCCTTCCAGAACAAAACTATAGCTGCTTCTGGATCCTTCTGAACTAACTGCATTTGCACAAAGAACATATGAACAGAACAATATTAGCTAAATAGTAGACCATTTGACAGTTGCTTACCAAACTCAGATTTACCAAAGGATAAAAAAAAAAAAATTCATAACCAATCCACAATCAAACATAAAAACGGCACCAATATTTATTCTGAAAGACTCCAAGATAACACAAGAAGACAATAGCACCGCATGCTTCAACGCCATTTAGAATTGATGAAAAATCTCCAATAATAATAACTAATAAGAAAAATAACTTTCAACATATTCCTCTGCTGATTGGAATTTCAGTTCTAATGCCATTTCTACAAACAGGCCAGAAGAGCAAGCATTTCCAAACTTTCTTCTTAGAATTTGCCATTTGGAGGAAAATGAATAACTATTAAAACATAATAAAAACAGAGAAAAAAGAATGTAGTTAGATATTGCAAACACTTGTTATCAAATCAAAAGACACATATCACTCTACCACTCTAATAGTACACTACGGTCATGACTAACAACCCAACCCCCATGAGTTATTCTCACACAAAAAAAGGATTAGAATAACTTAATAGGGAAAGTTAAATTCCAAATAGGAAAGTGCAAGTTTAATACTTTTTTCATTATAAAACTTTCTCAAACTAACCCTTTTTTGTTTTTGGATTGAATCCTCAAAACCTTAACTTCAAAGGGCCCATTAATGAAAATTAAAAGCTTCCCTAATTTCCCACACAATCATATCTCTGTCTAAGGCATCACTAAATTGAGATGAAACTGAAAGTTCATCAATTGACCAAACCCAAAATCCAAAATTTATAAACATAATGAACAATTACAGAGCAATTAAATAAATACCCATAATCTAATCTAACGTCTCATTTCAACCCAAACGCAAGTATATGATATGAGGTGAAAGAAAAAGACCTGAACGTGCTTGGCTCTGACGTAGGGGCTGTCACCAGGAGGCAGCTTATGAAGAACATGGTAAGGAGGATCCTGCTGCACTTGCACCTGACCGGCCCTCTCTCTTTTTCTCGGGCTCGTCATCGTCTTCTTCCTAACGTCAACTTGTGAAAACTCCAGACTGTATAAGAGAATTACGGATTTGAAGAGACGATCTGGAATTGGAAGGGAGCTAAATGCAGAGGATAATTTATAAATTTCGAAGAGCTTCTTTCGTCTTCGTTTTTTTGTATGAAATATGAAACGAAATGTGAAGGAAGTAACCTGGACGCAATCGAGTCCAGATGCTTGGTAGAGATGGACGGGGACATGTCCGCTTGCCACGTATGAGTTTTGGAAACGCGCAATTGGCGCAAAGCGAACAAGGAGGGCGAATCAGGGGACGTGACCCTTCATGCCTTGGGGAGACTTTGTGTACACATTCGAGCCTCTTCAAATGGCGGGCCTACAAATATCTCCCTTCTATTTAACGAAATAGACACTTGTAGGTTTGGGATGGTTCTCAATGAAATTACATTTTAAAATTATAATTAATAAACAAAAAATAAACTTTGGTTGTAACAACCCGATTCTTAAATAAATTTTTAACTATCATTTTATTCAAGGAAAGGACTAGAATACCCCCGAAATATTTTATATGGTTTAAAAGTTGATTTTTGACCGGAAAAGAATTTGGGAATTTCAATAGTACCATTACGTAAAGCATGGCGGAACGAATTCGTAGACACGTAGTGGGCCCAAATCCAAGTTGTATTGAGGGAGATACGATCAAAATACATTGAGGGGCTAAATAGTAATTTTGCCAGGTCAGATATTTTAAAACTGACTTCTCTCTCTCTCTCTCTCTCTCTCTCTCTCTCTCTATTGCGACCCAGCCCCT